TTCCACATTCTCAAAATAACTCATTCATATTCTTAAAGAGCTAATAAATGATGATCAGTCTGTTTCCTTCCCCACAGATATAGTCAAAAAAAAGCAAAGAAGACTTAGCACAGGACTCCTAGGTGTAGAGACTGATTTTGGTCACATCCCTGGGAAAGGGTGATGCTGCCTGCCTTCTATGGGGGTTAAAGAACAGAATACCTCCGGGCCTCTGCACAGTTCCAACACACACACACACACACACACACACACACACACACACACACACTTCCCTGCAGATGATCTTGAATATATACTGGTCAGTCGGTTTCTGCGGATGGAACATAGGGCTTCCAAAATTACTCGAAACATCAAATTATGCTCAGGACTTTGAGGGGCGGATACCCTATGTTCTGTTTAATGTGTATGTTCCACGGCATAGATTTTTTTTTTAACCAAGTATATCTTTATTTTAATAACAGGCCACGGACTAAAAACACTTTCGAGAAGGGCTATTTTTCTACCTCAGCAAAACTACAGAGGACACGCTCGGTGGCTAGATGACCCCAACACCTAAGTTCATTCTATTTAAAAGATATAAAACCCTTAAAAAAAAAGTGGAGTGGAAGAGGGAAAGACCATCTTTTCTCTTTGGAAGCCATGAGTCCTCCCTACAAGCACACGGGTATCTATCCTTGCTTAAAACGAATGTAACGTTTGCTCTATTTTTCCCACGTCGACAATATGTTTCTCAGTTTCTAAGTATTTAATGCATTTCAATCCGTCAATATCTATACCCTTTCATATCTGCACTCCCTTCCAACAGGAAGGTGTCTCTTCTCTCCACAGCTGCTAATATGCTGACTGCTCCCAACCTGGGCTGCGTGTCTCTTACTTCCAATGGAAAAGGGATGGTCCCCATGTAGACAATTAGACCATGTTCAGCTCTCAGTGCGGCCCTGCCCAACAACACTGATCCCATTTGCTCTCCCATGTGAAGGCATCAGTGTGTGTTGAATAATCATTTTTTGTCTCCTTTGCAACAAGACAGTTATATTCTTGAAAGGGCTGCCTGACAGCAAGAAGAATAGGTCTACTTCCGGTCAACTAGTCCTCAGATAGCTTCAACACATGATTCTTTAGCAAAATTAAATTATATTATAAACGAATTCTCTCCCCCTTCCCCCCCCAAAAAAGCAAATATCTCTAACAGATATTCCCAGTGTTTAAACATTTCCCCCTAAAATCTAGAACATTGAACCCCAATGAAAGCATCAGAAGTCACAGGAACATGAAAAAATCTCAAAAAAGATGTCTGATGTTCCATGCCTCCTATCAGCAAATACACCATCTGGTCGACTCCAGCACTGTTCATTCAGTTTAAATAAAGCTGTCTGGGAGTTCTTCCTGAATCCAAACAGTAAAAAATGAAACTGCTTCTGTGGACAATGAATGAAGCACAGTCAATCAGTGCCACTCCCGCCCGGCGGGCCAGTGGCTCTCCGGCCAGGAGGAGGGCGCCTGGCGGGCCCTGGCACTCGGTGGGCATCACTTTCAGTTTACGCTGCAGGTTGCGTGGCTGAAGGGTTACATGTAGCAGAGCACTGCAGGGACTTGTGCTAATGGTGGGAGAAAGGATCATCTGATCCTTATTTTTGTCATCTTTTTAAATAACCTTTGCTTTTCCTAAATCTTCAAATAGATCTGTAAGTTTTAATCACCAATTTTACAAATATAAATTTCCCCACCATTAATCATCCTTTTTCAAAATCCTTACGGAGTGAATTACTAGCTGACAAGGAACGCCAATTCGGGTAAGTGAATGTTACCCAGCAGGGATATAAAGCTGTCAACACCATGGTGCTCTTGCCTGCTCTCAACTCTCTCCCGGCCTTCATATGTTTTTTAAAGAGATATTAGCCTGTTTTTTTTTTCCTTCCTGAGGACCTTCGATAAAAGCTGACTGTCATACACATCTGAGCACGTATATTTTATTACATACGTGCTTTAGAACGCCGCTCAGATAAGAGCAAAAACACCCTAGGAAGTGTTGAAAAGACAAAGTAAAACTGACCCCTTTCTTACAGTCTTCTGAAGCTACCACACTGTAGACAATGCACGAACTTTAAGTCCTCTATTAAAACGCAACCTGGAGGACTGTGAGAGTGTATCTACCACCTCAACTAGTTAAAAGCCAGACACTAAAATAAAGCAAACACCCCCCCCTCAAAAAGCAGAATAACAAAAAAATAAAAAAATTTTACTGTTGCAACCAGTGCACTCAGAAACATTTATCCACTCACTGTTTATCAAAGCAGTAAGATAAACTGCCATTTAATCAATAAACAATTAACAATAATTAACAATTAACAATAATTTCTGCTATTTTAGGGGGGAGCTCCCCCTAATATCACTAAAGATTAACAAATACATCCTCCCAAATTGAGCTCTATTTTTAAAACATATTATTATAGTCATTATTATAGCAATCTTTTCAACATCTACAAGACTGTACTATACCTGAAAATTGTAATAACAATACAGAGGTATCTTTCTTTAGTTGTCTATACTTATTATATTGCTTCATAAAGAAAATTTAAACAAAAGGAGGTAGCGTGATAGAAATATAATCTGGTTTTTATTTACACTATGTTCCAAAATTTAAGTCTTTCAAGTATGAAAACCTGCTAAATAGAAATATATTTTAAGCATTTTTTTAAATTTAGAATGTGCATTTTTAAAAGCTTTGCTTTTCTCCAATCTGTGCGTGATTAAAAGTTACAAGAAAATGAAATTATTAACATTTCAGTGCACATTTGGAAACTACTGTATATAAATGTAAATCCCTAACATAATCATTAACATTCAATAAGAAAACTTTGTATTATTGAAATTTTATGTTCTAGTTGTTACATTTTAAAGCTTTCTAAATTAAAATCTTTCCACCCTATTATGCTATATAGAGTAAAATTTTTCTTTTTTAAAAATCTTTAAAAATCCACCATGTGTAAACTATTTAAACCACTTTACTATTAAGTATTATAAATGGTAATTGTTGAGACAAAATAATGTCATCTTTATTTTCAGTTTGGGAGCAGCCAGTAAGACCTTTGCTATTACTAAATGAAGCTAAAGCTCAGATAAAGTGACAAAAGTAGTTTGTTGAAACAAATCTATTATGCATCACCAAGACTTAATAATTTTACTTTATATCAAATTTATAATAAGTGGTCAAATGTTAATTATAGTCTCAAAAAACATGAAAAGCAACTACTATAGTACACTAAAGGTAGCCCTGGTTATCAAAATTAGGCTGTGTCTTTCACAGTTCAATATGATATAAATAAAATTTGTTTGAGAAAAGCACAATTGTTAACAATTATATTCAAAAATATTTAGAAACGTCTCTCAACTTAGTGACTTTTTCTAGGTCTTCAGAAAGAAACCAAAATTTCAAGTCTATGTTTTTTCTTTATGCATAAGGCCACTTTGAGAACAAATCTCCTCCAAGGATTTCTAAGAGTTTTTTAATCAAACATTATCAGCACATATCATATCATCCAACATAGTCACTATATATTTTTCTTTCTTACATGCATATATTAAAAAAAGGATACAAAAAAGTCAAAACTTATTGCTCCAGGCTCAAGACAGAACATTAAGAAATACCACTTTTAAAAGTGGGTCACAGAGCTATCAACTTTTCTTTTGCTTCATTAAAGTATGTCTTCAAGCCCCTAAAATGGAAGATATGTAAGCTACAATCTATAGCCAATTAATTTTTTAAAGCTTTAAAAATTGTGAGAATGAGCGATTCTCAAAGGAGATGATTAATATAAGGATCTAAGGCAAACCATCCTGAATGTCTACCATGAAGACAGTAATAGCAAAATAAAAATAAAACCCTGTTACTTTATAAAATGCCTGTATTTAACTCTTTAAGGGTGAGTGAACATATTAAATAATTACTTCAAAATACATACTATGGCTATTTAGAACCTAGGGATGGAGCTTATCACTAAGTTTTGCCAGGGTTTTGTAACATTACACAGGCTAATATAAAGAATTATATTAAATGGGCTACTGCTGAAAATTTTAGGACAAAAAAAAACTTCAGAAGCAAAAAAGTTAAAAGTCACTTATCCCAAACACAATAAAACTGCATACCATGGAGAAATATGCATTTTATTTCTAAAAAAAACAACTGGCAAATGGCACATAAACCTCAAAATATTTGAGTAATGCATCAATTTCTTGCACATCTTCATTTTATAAAATTACTTTTCCTAACCACTTTAAAAGGTAGCTGTCTAAGTAGTAAAAAAAAAAAACTACAAAAGATTATTTTTAATAATATTGAATTCCTGGAAAGGAAATAAGGCTACTATGCTATTTTACCTATTGTGCTCTAATTCCTAACGAAGTTACGAACGCATATGACTTTAAACTCTATAGGAAACAGTAGCATTAAAGCCGCTAAGGGCCTGATGGATGCCTGAGTCTTTATTTCACACTGGAAAGGTGGCAGGGAAGACCCCCAGTTGTTACTCACTGGTCTCCAAGCCCAACTAAGAGGTAACAACCCTCCTGACCCTCCCGCTCCGGCCCTGGACGGAGCATGGAACACTAGCCCCCAAGAGAGAACGTACCTGAACTTCATCCCTGCCACCGACACTGGGAGGCCAGGCAACAGAGTGAAATCCCTAAAAAGCTCTCGAGGAAAAGCTAGAAACAGTTAGCTGGCTGTGACATAAACCTGCCAACACCTCAGCGCACAGTGAGTGGCAACTTGCCCAAAAAATGCCACCCCCTGGGGAAAGCGCTTTCTGGGCTGAGCTGGAGAGGAAGCTACCAGTCACAGAGGAGAGGCCACGGGGGCCTTATCTGGCGACCTGGCGGCCACTTCCTGTAACCCTACACCGGCAGGAGCCCGGGGCACCTGAACCCCGGCCCCCGGGCCCCCATCCCCGCGCCCGCCGCGCCGCGGGCCGCGCGCCTCCCTCCGCGCCGCGGGCTGTTACCTCCCACGGCCTTGGCCACGGCGCCGTTGGGCCTCCCGCGGGCTCCCATGGGGCTGCCGTTCTGCTCCAGCCGCGCCACCTTCACCGGGGGAGGCCCCTTGACGTCGGGGCTGCCGCTGCGCCGGTCGGGGCTGTCCCGCAGGCACGGGCTCTCGCTCCGCCGCTCCATGCTGCTCCAGCTCGGAGACAGAGTTCCCACCGGGC